GGGCTCAGTGAAATGAGGAGACGTCTCGCTCTTCAGAAGCTGCTAATGAATTCCACAACACTTGTAATCAAGACTCCGGCGCGATGAAGGGGCCCCCCGGGGAACCTCCTCCCTCAGTGCCAGAGCAGGAGGGGGACCGTCTTCACTGCGCCCCCCCCGGGGAACCTCCTCCCTCAGTGCCCGAGCAGGAGGGGGACCGTCTTCACTGCGCCCCCCCCGGGGAACCTCCTCCCTCAGTGCCCGAGCAGGAGGGGGACCGTCTTCACTGCGCCCCCCCCGGGGAACCTCCTCCCTCAGTGCCCGAGCAGGAGGGGGACCGTCTTCACTGCGCCCCCCCCGGGGAACCTCCTCCCTCAGTGCCCGAGCAGGAGGGGGACCGTCTTCACTGCGCCCCCCCCGGGGAACCTCCTCCCTCAGTGCCCGAGCAGGAGGGGGACCGTCTTCACTGCGCCCCCCCCGGGGAACCTCCTCCCTCAGTGCCCGAGCAGGAGGGGGACCGTCTTCACTGCGCCCCCCCCGGGGAACCTCCTCCCTCAGTGCCCGAGCAGGAGGGGGACCGTCTTCACTGCGCCCCCCCCGGGGAACCTCCTCCCTCAGTGCCCGAGCAGGAGGGGGACCGTCTTCACTGCGCCCCCCCCGGGGAACCTCCTCCCTCAGTGCCCGAGCAGGAGGGGGACCGTCTTCACTGCGCCCCCCCCGGGGAACCTCCTCCCTCAGTGCCCGAGCAGGAGGGGGACCGTCTTCACTGCGCCCCCCCCGGGGAACCTCCTCCCTCAGTGCCCGAGCAGGAGGGGGACCGTCTTCACTGCGCCCCCCCCGGGGAACCTCCTCCCTCAGTGCCCGAGCAGGAGGGGGACCGTCTTCACTGCGCCCCCCCCGGGGAACCTCCTCCCTCAGTGCCCGAGCAGGAGGGGGACCGTCTTCACTGCGCCCCCCCCGGGGAACCTCCTCCCTCAGTGCCCGAGCAGGAGGGGGACCGTCTTCACTGCGCCCCCCCCGGGGAACCTCCTCCCTCAGTGCCCGAGCAGGAGGGGGACCGTCTTCACTGCGCCCCCCCCGGGGAACCTCCTCCCTCAGTGCCCGAGCAGGAGGGGGACCGTCTTCACTGCGCCCCCCCCGGGGAACCTCCTCCCTCAGTGCCCGAGCAGGAGGGGGACCGTCTTCACTGCGCCCCCCCCGGGGAACCTCCTCCCTCAGTGCCCGAGCAGGAGGGGGACCGTCTTCACTGCGCCCCCCCCGGGGAACCTCCTCCCTCAGTGCCCGAGCAGGAGGGGGACCGTCTTCACTGCGCCCCCCCCGGGGAACCTCCTCCCTCAGTGCCCGAGCAGGAGGGGGACCGTCTTCACTGCGCCCCCCCCGGGGAACCTCCTCCCTCAGTGCCCGAGCAGGAGGGGGACCGTCTTCACTGCGCCCCCCCCGGGGAACCTCCTCCCTCAGTGCCCGAGCAGGAGGGGGACCGTCTTCACTGCGCCCCCCCCGGGGAACCTCCTCCCTCAGTGCCCGAGCAGGAGGGGGACCGTCTTCACTGCGCCCCCCCCGGGGAACCTCCTCCCTCAGTGCCCGAGCAGGAGGGGGACCGTCTTCACTGCGCCCCCCCCGGGGAACCTCCTCCCTCAGTGCCCGAGCAGGAGGGGGACCGTCTTCACTGCGCCCCCCCCGGGGAACCTCCTCCCTCAGTGCCCGAGCAGGAGGGGGACCGTCTTCACTGCGCCCCCCCCGGGGAACCTCCTCCCTCAGTGCCCGAGCAGGAGGGGGACCGTCTTCACTGCGCCCCCCCCGGGGAACCTCCTCCCTCAGTGCCCGAGCAGGAGGGGGACCGTCTTCACTGCGCCCCCCCCGGGGAACCTCCTCCCTCAGTGCCCGAGCAGGAGGGGGACCGTCTTCACTGCGCCCCCCCCGGGGAACCTCCTCCCTCAGTGCCCGAGCAGGAGGGGGACCGTCTTCACTGCGCCCCCCCCGGGGAACCTCCTCCCTCAGTGCCCGAGCAGGAGGGGGACCGTCTTCACTGCGCACCCCACAGAGCTCGGAGGACTCCGCAGACATTGAGTTCAGTATTGGGTTGGCTCCGCCCTCTAATGGCCCCCCAGTCTTAGTCCGTAGGGTTCAGTATTGGGTTGGCTCCGCCCCTTCGTTCTATAACAGCTCCGCCTCTTCTGGGAAGGCGTCCACAAGGTTTAGGGGTGTGTCTATGGGAATGTTGGACCATTTGTGAGGTCAGGTACTGATGTTGGGGGAGGGGCTCGCAGTCTCCGCCTCTAATTCATCCCAAAGGTGTTCTATGGGGTTG